AGTGAATGCGAGACGTTCTCGTAAACCAGGAAGGTGATCATGCAGGCGGGCACCACCCTCGTCAAGCTCGCCTGGAGACCCTTGTAGAAACCTCTGAAGCCCTCGAAGCTGCAAAGAGAACCAAACACGAGGGGGGAATTAGTAAGTGTGGACCGGGAGCTACAACTACTTACTACTGTTTCAGATTAGCAAAGAGATTCTGCACAATTTAGGGGATGACTGAAGGAGCGGAAGAGCAGGGACTACTTACTGAAGTTGCCCTGAACCCTTGGACAAATGAAAAGACGCTGGTTGGACGCGCTGACAGTGTTTGCTTTAGTTTGTTTTCTTTTGGGTTTGCCATCCTGACATTTTAATATAGTTAAATAATTTCGCATTTTCTGCTCTTGATTTGATTTCATTTAGATTGTTCCACTGTTTGGCTTAGTTGGGTTCACAATGCGTTCATTCTTATTTACATAAGTGTCAAGGTTTATCCTTAAAATTATAAACCATTTTCAAAATTATGAAGAATCTTTTTGCCAAAACGAAATTTTGTATCAACTAAACAGTAAACTGGATTCATCTTGTGCTTACACAATTCCAAGCCATTACAGAATAAATAATTTATCTAAACTAAGAACTAAATGTGTGTTTTGTTTTGATGAAGAGTGCAAGAAATGCGTCTCTGAAATTACATTTCATGGGCAGAGGCAATATTTGCCATGGCCTCCATCACATCAATTACTTTCGAAGTGTTTAGAGCGAAGGATGTGTACAATAAACTAGTTATGGAATACGCTTAAGTTTAGGGTTAGGTGCTAGGGCTAAACCGAAATCGAATTACAACAATAATACAGAATAAGTTTGTCATTTTCTGCTGTTAGCTGCACATCGGAGGAAACTAGAAAGATTCGTGTATTCTAGTCGCTTAGCTTAAATTCTGTGCCAGATTCTAGATTCTTGGCTCTAGTGTAATACTCCATCTAGCTGGTCAGCTTCTCCCAGATCAGCATGACCATGCAGATGTTGGGCGTCACGTGGACCAGGTAGGGCACCAGGCCCTTATAGAAACCGCGCATGCGCTCGTACCTCCAAGTCTGTTTGATGCAGTCCCAGGTGCCGTTGTAGCGGTGGTGGTGATCCTGCAGCCGTGCCCGCACCACCTGGTACGGGTAGGTGGCCGCCGCCGCGATCAGCTTGGAAACGGCCGCGAAGGCCAAGTACTCAGTGGTGGCCTGTGGAAGAGGGAACGGATATTAGAGAGGCGAACGGAATGTGCTGAGTGGGTGCCAAATCGCAGAGACGTCATTACAGCCGGATATATTCGGTTATGGTTGTGTACAGATGTAGTCATTAAGATATTAACAAAGCAAAAGTCTATTTTTCTGATTCAGAAAAAGTTTCAGAGAACTAAGTTTTTGTTTAGCTTCTATTGTTTAACAAGTTGACTAGTTCATAAATATTAATAGGAATTTTCAAAGGTGAGTAATTTATTTTAATGACTTTTTTCATAGGCCAATTTAAGAAGAACTTGGGTTATAAAATTAACTAAAGTATGGATTATAATTTTTAGATTTCAGTGCCAAAAAGTTTAAATAGGACTCATTTCTAATATTAATAATATCTAGAACTAATAGAACCCACTTCTAATATTAATAATATCTAGAGGTACATTACTCTACCCTGAATTTGTTTAAGGGCATTTCTGTTTGAATGAATAAGCAATAGATGCAATTATTCTGTATTTGTATCAAACAACGATAAAACAAGTATTTCTTCCTTTATCAGTTGGACTTCCACATATTCTTTATATATGACTAATATATTTACTTTGTGCTATTAAACTGACCGCATCTGTTTACCCAATTTAGTATATATCCGATGTCAACGCCACGCGCATTCGGTCATGTGATGATCTGCTCATCTGTGGTCTGCGTACTCACCAGCTTTGTGTCGATGGGCAGTTTGCGGTACTCGTTGTAGGCGTTCTTCATCTCCTCGTAGGTCATGAACTGGATGGCGCCGTGGGAAACGCCCAGCATGCCGGGCACAAAGCCGCGGTACAGACCCCGCACTCCCTCCTCCTTGTAGATCTGGCCCAGGGCGTGGATCATGCCCCTGTATTCGGCACTGCTCGCGGCATCGCACTGCAGGCAGAGACGCGTCTTCACCACCCAGATGGGGTTGGTCAGCAGCAGGGTGAGGGCTCCGGATTCCGCAGCAGCCAGCATGTGCATCGCGGGACCCAGTGGCATAGTTGTGTTGCCTCCCTGGATGAACGTCTTGATGGTGTTATAGCTAAGATATAAAATCACAATGTTATTTTGTTATCATTGGGGGCTGCATGACGGAGTACTTACAACATGAAGTACAGGCCCCAGGAGGAGCCGGATCCCCAGACATTCGGGGTTACGCCCTTGTAGAGTCCACGGAAGCCCTCCTGCCGGAAAATGGTGGTAAAGGCACTGCCCAATCCACGGTATTGCGGCACCGTCGCCGTCCGTCCATCATTGACTGCAAGTAGACAACGAATCACGCTCGTAAATGATAAACAAGTCTAGACATTGCAACCTTGGGACTGGCACGATTATGGATACTGGTACTAAAGGGTCTGCGGGTACGTCATCCTCTGTACGGCTACGGGGAAATCAGTTGTTGACTCCAAAAAGCCAGGGCCCGTGGCCAAAGTTGTTTTCGCCAAAAAACAGATAGATAGCGTTAATTGCCAGCGGATGCGATAAGCGGGGAGAGTCGAAAGCGAGCACTCCGCTTGTTTTCGCGTCCATTAGCAGCTATTTAGCTATTTATACGGGGCTACATATAAGTTCTACATATACAGGCGGGGTAATCATAGGATCTGGCCTGACAACAGCACCAGTCAGAAGAAAGGGGCTCGTCTCTACCTCTGGACTATTTATAGCTGCCCCATGCGTGACCTTGAAGGGGGACTGGACAACCCAACTGGCCTGGGTCAGGGGGGGATTATGATGAACCATATTGACTTTGGGGCAGACTAATGGGTTTTTCGACATGCACTCGATATTGCCGCCGCGATAAGGTCGCAGTGAAGTGCTGAATCAGCCAACTTCCCGCTTGGCAACAGTGAGAACTCGTTTTGGCCAATCGATCTGGGTGCTTGTGCCACATAAACCGGACAGTTGCCGCTGAAAGTTGCCGTTAAACAAAGCCAACAACGCAATGTACAGTCAAGACAAGTGGTCACGTGATTAAAAACGAGCAAGAGCAGAAAAGCAAAAGCAAAAGCAAGATAAACGGGTTTCGTTTGGCCAAAATGCGTCATCGCTAAAAAGGCCTTGCGCAAGTCAATAGAAAACAGCTGTTGCCAAATCGAGTACCAGAAGATTCAAGGAGGTTTAAAGTGGGGGGAACCACCAGCACTTTGGGTTCCTAACCATCCCAACTTGGGTTCCCTTTATCAGTTTACAATATTCGCATGGTGTGACTTTAATTCCCATAAACAACTCGTCTGGTGGTTGTTATTGTTTACAGATCATTTTTCTGGTGAATTTACATATTCATTTTACGGCTAAGGCGATTTTTAGCGCAGATCCGGGCAAACGGAACGGCAAAAATATTTAATAAACAAGAAACCCGCTCCGTTTGTTGTTGCTTTAGTATTTTGAATCAGACTACACGGAAATATTGTTCACGTATTTTGCGCATGAAGCGCAATCGAGGACAAAGATATGATTCAGTTTAGTACAATTATGTAGTTTTCAGCAAACGGCCCGTAAACACAATGAATCGGCTAGTATCATATCTACATAAATATCAAAGGTTGATAGCCAATATTGATCTTTGGACCAGACAGTAAAAGTAAAAGCACTGCTGTTAGCCAGTTTCCTGCCTTCAATTTCCAGATTAGACTAATTTGAGTGTTTCAGGCAATTGTCAACAAACCCATAAATTCTTTCTATCTATCGCATAAAAAAAAAACTATGTTCGCGTGCCATTGGCCCCATTTTGGGTTTGTTTATGTGCGAAAACATGAACGAACGTCACTTCTCAAAGCGTCTCAAATTTTCCATGTTGCAAAAAGAAAACAGTAACGTCACTTCTCGGATACGCAAGCGTCTCAAATTTTCCATGGAAAATTTGTAAAGCAATGCGCAAACAAAATGCGAGCAGCGAATGAAGTGCAATAATAATCTGCAGCCAGACTGGCGGCATTTTTCCCGGCACGTGCCGGGGGTTCTATCTTCACTACCCAGAAATAGAGTGAAATTTATAAAGACAGTTCAGTTTTTCTTATCATGTTTTTGTTTTTTAAATTACTATTTTTGTACACAATTCCAAAGTCAGCTTAAACAAAAATAGCTAATCTCAAAACAAATTATTATAACATCACTATTAAGTAAACATATATTATTAAGATCACTTGAATTATAGTATTAATTTTAAGTGCTTTTAATTTTTAATACCCTCAAAATAGAGAAAAATTATTTTTCAACTGATAATACTACATTTAAATTGTATATAACATTTCTTTTTCCCCAATCAGTTTTTTCAAAGATCTATAAAAATGGAAATTAGCTCCGAAATGTTTACCCCAATTAAATTATTATTTTAAAATGTTGTTTAAACTTTATTTTTATAAGAAAATCTAATTCTGAGACACAAGAATTCCTCATTTTCTTTGGTGTAGAGTGGAATTTCCCTATGTGGATGGATGACTCACCTGCGAATCGAATCTTGATCAGATCCAGGGGGTGTAGAATAAGTGTGGACGCCACTCCGCCGGAAACTCCGGCCACCATATGCTCGTACTTGACGTGGGCGAAAACGTTGAATTTCTTGGGACTGCCCGTCGATTGTGCTTTGATTGGATTCATTGTGCGATTTCTGGATTGAATCTTGTGCGCTTTCTCTGTATTATTGTTGCTATCGTAGGCTTATTTTGCTGCCCTATGCGAAATTCACATGTGCTACTGGTGAATTGTACTAAAACTACGTGCTATTTACACTCTTTGGCTTTTCGGCTTTTGATATTTAAATGGGCGCAAATCAAAGGAAATCGCTCGACGAATTTATCTTGTTGCTAGGCGCACAGTTGCTGCTGTTGTTGTTGCTGTTGCTGCTGCTGCTGCTCCGGTTGTTGTTGTCGCTGCCGCTGCTACAGTTGAAACATTTCTGCCTTTGCTTTTTTGTTGCCCAGCTCATATTTTCACTCGTTTGTTGCCAGTGATTTAGACTTTTGTTTGGCTATAAGTGCTGCTGCCTGTTCCTTTTCAGCTGTTTCCAGAATGCTGATGAAATAATCGCTCCGCAAATGTTGAAATTTTATTTTCGCTTAGCCATCCGTTTCTTATGTAATGCCAAATTCATAGACAGGCTGATTAATTGGCTCTGATTTTAGGGTTTGCTTAGCTGAGCTGACAAGCGACTGATTAGCGCACTGCAATTAACGGTCAAGCGCACGTGTGGCAGCAATGGAAATTAAGTAACAAGTTTTCTACGCGCGGGCAGGCGGACAAATGCGAACAGCAAGCTCTCGATGAAAAAACTGAAGTGTATCTCAGCTCGTTCATTCATTCTCAACTATAGGTGGTGAGCTTTATTTTCAATAGTATCGTTAAAAATAATCGAATTATTTAAGGTTCCCTTACACTAGACACATTCGATGTTTCCAGAATTTTAACAACTAATTGAATAATATTGAAATGTATAAATAAGGATATTTATACAATACATATTAATAATATGTATATAAGTACAAGAGCTTTACTCTTCTGGAAAATATTAATAGTGACTTATAATGACATGGCAGAAATTTCCTATTCATTAAAAAATAGATTCGAATTGCATTTTCTCTTTTAACAAACTGACTATTAAAATATATTTTTATTACGAAGAAGAAATTAGCAACAGTACCGATATTTAATTTATCGCAAGTGAAAAATTCGGTAACTTAACTGAACGAAAAAAGTGTCTGTGGTGGCTGGGAGGGTGACTCCGCTAATGTATAAGGTGGCAACGCTAATTGGGAGCTGAACTCGGCTGTCTAAAAAAAATGGGCAACGCTCTGCCGTGCGCCAGAATAATTAACGGAATTTCTGAAGGATTTTGTTTTTATACCCGTTACTCGTAGAGTAAAAGGGTATATTGTATTCGTGCAAAAGTATGTAACAGCTAGAAGGAAGCGTTTCCGACCCTATAAAGTATATATATTCTTGATCAGGGTCACTAGCCGAGTCGATATAGCCATGTCCGTCTGTCCGTCTGTCTGTCTGTCCGTATGAACGCTGAGATCTCGGAAACTATAAAAGCTAGAAGATTGGCATTTTGCATGCAGATTCTAGGAGTTCCTACGCAGCGCAAGTTTGTTTCAAAAAGGTGCCACGCCCCTTTAACGCCCACAATCGCTTATATACGATTTTAAAAATTTAAATATTTCGGAAAAGTAAAAATGCAGTTTTATTGTGTTTATCAATACCTATCGAAATGTAGAAGAACTTTTTCAAGTCGGACCATTCGTTAAAAAGTTATGCGTGATCAAAGTTTCTATCTCCATCTCCCTCGCACTCCCTTTACCTGAGTAACGGGTATCTGATAGTCGGGGCACCCGACTATAGCGTTCTCTCTTGTTTTTATTTATTAACCCACGTGTCCTTCTATAATTAATTATTATGTTTTTACTCATTAGGATTTGCTTTATTTAAATTTTTTTGGCTATTGTAACGTTTTTTTTAAAGTATGATATCTAACAAACAGTAAATCCCCAAAATGTTGTATATATTTGTTTATGCTAAGTAATGAATTGAGTATTATTTGATGTTATTAATGAGGTTCCTAATTTGTTTAATATTGGGTTTATCTCTTAAATTTATTTATTATTGCCAACAACTCCTTTAAAGTTTTCTAGACCTAAAATTTCCCATTTACATGTCCCTACTCAACCTTTCTGCAACTTTATTAATCACCGTGACAGTTTCCTTGAAAGCGGTCAATACAACTAATTCCCATGCATAGGCATTCACCGATATATTGAATATTCGATGAGTGGTCATGCAATCGAGGCACCCGTTAATTACTAAATAAACCATGCTTGCCCACAAACGAGCATCGACAACTGTAATTTGCCTTCGATATTCCAATTAAATTGTGTAAACAATTTGGCATAAGCCAGAGGTCCTTAATTACAGGCGGCGGGACGGGCAGGGATACAGGTACATGCAAGGATTCGGGCCGAAGGGGTAAAATGACACAATTACGGGCTGGAGTAGCCAACCGTCGGATCCAAATTGAGTGGGGGCGTGGCCATTGTTGGGTAAACATCGGACAGCTATGTGCTCGTGTTCTGCGGTCACGGGAACACATGTTCGCCTTCACATCCCGTCGAATGGCATGAAATTTTAATTTTCATTAGTCGAACGATATAATTTAGAGACCGCAGACTGCGAGCAATTCGTGGTACTTAGTTGCAGATACTTTTCTATCTCATTATACGTCTCGATAAAGCTTTAATTATTTTCGTTTTGTGCTGTGTGCGCATTTCATTGGCACTGCAATGCCAACAATTCGCAACAATTTGTCAGTAAATAATTTCGAATTGTTCTCTGTCTGCGGGCAATCAAAAAAATCTAAAAAACGCGCTCGCTCAAACGAAAAAGAGAGTGCAGATACGTTTGTATCTGTATCTGTATCTGTATTTTCTGCTTTCTGGCTGGCTGCAAATGGGATTGGGGATTGGGGACTGCAGATTGGGGATGAGGAATGGGGCTGGGTGTCAACAGCGCTCTGATTTATTTGAGCGCATTCAACGCTTCGTTGCATTTCGTTAATTTGCCCGTTTTCCGCTGCCAGAAGAGTTGCAGCCCAGAAATATTTACCATCACTCTATGAGGATCCCCGCCCATCCTTGACAAACTGCCAAAAACACTAAGGAAAACCCAAGAGCTTTCATCATAATCAGAAAACAAAAATTATCAACGAGCCGCATAATTATATTGTAATTTATGCAGCTGTCGAATTGGTTAAAATGTTTGCAATGTTCGGTGCTCGTAAAAGATTTCAAACACCCAAACGTGACCGATGCCAATTTGTGTTCCAATCAATGGACGCTTCGTCTTTTATGGCCAAAAATTTGGTCAATTACGATCAATTAAGCCATACATATGCAAATTATTGCCACCTGCTGTTTCGGTGTGAAAAACGTTAGGCATATCAATTATGAAGGCTTCAGGGGAATTCGAGGGCGGATATGGATTATGCCTACAACTGACATGTACCTATGCCTAGATTTTTTGTATTTATAAAAGTTGTTTCATTATTATTAAAAACTAAGACCGATTATTTGAGACTTTTGTTTTTAAAGGACTTCTATGGTTTTGAAAACAATTAAAACCTTATTTACCATTGCCTACAAATTGGATAAAATGCAAACTTCAATCAACTTACCCAGAAGTCTTGTAAAAATAATTGTTTAAGCTAACTTTTATATTTGGTCCTCGTAAAATTTTCTATTTAGGTATTGACCAGACTGGTAACATTTACAAGTTCCAAATTCATAAAGTATTTATTTGAATCTGGTCTTAAAGACTTTCCTAACCTTCTACGAGAGCGGCGCGTATATTAAATTAAAAAGTTAATTAGATTAATTTCTATGGGTAAAAAAGATACTATATATATTTAAAATGTTTAATGCACATGACGTTTATTATAAATATCAGCAGTACAAAATTGAAGTGGCTTTAAAATTATGTAATATATGTACCTTTCGAATGCGAAACCTAGCCAAAGCGTTTCACATATCTCCTAAGTCATTGTGTCTAAAAAGGTGAAATTGAAACCCAAGTCCCCATTAAGTCTTCGTGATTAGCTCCTCGTCCCAATTGATGCACCCATATGGGAGTGTCCCATTCAGAGATATATTCACCGCAGATATGTAACTAAATTGCAGATACAAATCGGTGAGCACACTCGAGTGTCTGCTAATGATGCCCGACAGTCACACCCACTGGCAACTGATGTTTGAATTTAAATTGGTCACTAATATGCCTCGCGAGAACCACATCCTCCGCCGCCACACCGCCACACCGCCTCGCCGCGTCGGAGAAGTCCCCACTCCGGAAAGGAGCTAACGATGACGGCGCATTAATGGCAGGGCGTTCTCTTCTGCAGTCCGGCGATGTCTGATTACCGAGCGATTCGAGCAGAACGCAATTACGGAGCTGGAGAGTGGAAGTGCTAGTGGTGCAGCGTGTCCGCGAGTGGGTGGCGGTGGGGCCGTGGCTCCATTGCCGGAAACTGGTTCGCTATCCGCACCACCCGGCAATTAGCCGCCAGCCAATGGGATCGGTCCGCCAGACAGAGACACCAGCAGTTTGTCATGCGCCATATTGGAAAGGAGGAGGAGCCAAGGCATTTGTGGTGGTTGCTCGGCGGGCACAAAATTTCGACTTGGGTGCCGTACGCGTACGTGATGTCTGCTGCAGCTCGACAGTTGCTCGCAGATCTCTGAACGGTTCACTGCGTCGTGTCTGTTCCGAACGAAGGCCCGTGAATAATTGATTGATACAATACAATAGTAATTCTTCTTTGAGACTAAACTGACTTTTCGAGAGGGCAAAATGGAACGGCCGGCCCTGCTGCAGAATGGAGAGCTGGGCAACATGGACTCTTCCACAACCAGACTGGTTAGCAAGCCCTTTCCCAAGCCCTTCTCGATCGAGAGTCTGATTGCCAACCAAACACCTGCCAATACTGCACCGCCATCGCCGCCCGAGGAGCGGGATCAGGAGCAGGAGCCGGAACAGGAGCAGGAACTGAGTGCCCGGGCCATGGTGGCCAGTTCCGCCCTGGGACTGACCCAGTTCCCGCTGTACAATCCCTGGCTGCACGGCTATTTCGCCCAGAACCACGAGAGATTAACGCATTTAATTGCCGGCGGCTGCTACCTGCCCTCCAATCCGGCCAGTCATCCGGCTCCGCAGCAGCCGCAGGCACAGCCGCCACCACCACCACCACATGCCTTGGAGAAGCAGCTTCCACCCACCTTGCCGCATCCGCTGGATACGCGATTCCTGCCTTTCAATCCCGCCGCCGCCGCCGGAGTTGCGCCCACGGATCTCAGCTACCGGCGACTGGCCGAGCTGATGAACCAGGACTACGTGCACAGCCTGAGTGTCCATGCCCGACTGCAGCACATGGCCGCCGCCGGCAGGATCCAGGACCAGGACCAGTCGCACCCCGGTTTGCCCCAAGTCCAGGAGGCGATGCCTCCGCAGGCCCACTCCTCGCCAGCAAAGTCCGGCAGCCACAGTCCCGTGGAGCCAACGCTGGATGTGGGCATGGACGAGGACTTCGAGTGCAGCGGCGACTCCTGCAGCGACATCAGTCTGACCATGTCCCCCAGGAACTACAACGGAGAGATGGACAAGAGCCGCAATGGAGGTGGGTAAAAGAAGGCTAATCTGTTTTTAGGATAAGGGTAACATTTGGGGACAGTTGTTGATACAGGGATCGCGAGGTGAATCCAAGTATGAATATACATTTCATTTGAATCCATTATCCACTTTTAACAATTCTTAAATAACTTTAAAGAATCTAAAAATTGTTTACAAGTGAAAATATAATTGATTGAGAAAATAACTATCAACTTTAAAAATAAAATCAACAGCTTAAATGTGATCTTTTTAGAGCTTGTGGATATTAAGCTTGTATTCCGATAATTGTAAATCCGGTAATTTATATATTTTATTATCAGAGATTGCAGGTTATAGTTTGTTTATCAGTAATACAATGCTCTAATTCACGCATCCAATGGTTACATCAAGGATATCTTATTTAAACTAAATGCGAGAGATTTTATTAATTTTTTGATTTTTAAAATGTTTATGAGGGTTAAGTCAATAACAAAGACAAATATATTGAAAGTTTAAATGGCTAAATTGGCTTAACACATATGGTCGGTAATTCGGGAAAATTATGTTTTGTTTAATATGTTTCCAATAAACATTGTTTAGGGACAGTTTTATTAATTTTAAATCATTACAAAATTGGTAATAAGGACAAGTAAATCAGAGCATTCTTTTTTGGTAATTTATGAAGGGAATAATCTTTTATTTAAATATCAGTACAAACATATTTAAAAGCTATAAAAGTATATTAGAACTTCAAATATTATAAACCACTACCCCTTTGAGCCGGTGTCCAGTTTTGTGAAGTCTCATTTTGTCGAGTGTTACGGTGTCACGGTAATTAAAATTGAAGCTGCCACGTCATAATCAAAATTAGCATAGAATGCATTAAGACCCAATGTTTGGTGTCAATCAAAGCAGTGAAAAGTTTTCACAACGCCGTCTTCGGGCTCCAGAACCGACACTCGACCACAATGGAGTGCTGCTGGAGTGCTGACGTTTTGACAATCGTAACGATTTAGTTTGGTCATTCGAATGGAATGGAAATGTACGACTCCCAGCCACCGCACGACATCACCATCACCATCACCATCGCCATAATCATCCGTGGCCCCCTGCTGCCGGGCAAAGTGTCTGGAAACTGAGCCATCATCCGTGCCATAATCAATTTGCCAGCAGAGCTGTAAAAAGCGCAACAAATTCCCGACTAATATATTCATAACTGGGCGCAGGATAAGATGGGGGTGTGGGTGGGTGGTTTGAGGGAGTTGTTACTTGGGGGTGGTTAAACCTACGAGTATATATATGGGTGCTGTCAGGGAGAACAAGGGGATCAAAAGCGCAGATAAATCAGTGACAGCGGGAACTTTTGAAGCGTGTAAGTGTTAAAAAACCGCTTAACCGTGTACTCAAAATTAACAGGATTTGGAGGGGGTAAATTGAATATACTATATGGTGGGGTGTCACCCTCGTTCGCGTCTTTATCCCCCTTCAATGGGGCATTTAGCTTTCACGCTCAACTTCTGTCCACCCAAAACAAACAGATTAAGTTTCGAGTATTCCTGATGACTTCCCATCTCTTCTGGGGAGGGACAGCCTTCAGACACATGTATCCAGTTATAAATAAATATGTTTGCCACAAGTTATGGCACGGGCCATTTGCGCCAGAAGTCCGAACTCGTTAGGGCCCCATTAATGGGTGTCTTGGAGAGAGCGTCTTGAGCCCCAGGAGAATCAGTCAGGATGTGGGCAGGACCGAGGCAACATAATTCAATGCAATCTGTTAGATTGACTCCGAAGTGAGGGGCCAAAGCTACACATAATATATAAAAAGTTTATTTTTCTTTCAAAAATATTAAATTCATATGGTAGAAAAGTTATGAGGGTGGATTTAAGGAATTCCTTTATTTGATGAATTTATCACAGTGATATAACTGAAACTTTGTATAATTATGTAGTATCAATAAATTTATCCAAACTAATTTTAAAGAGTACTTGGAATAACGTTAAATATTACAAAATATAAAGAAAACGTTTTTTTAATTGTTCAATTATTTAAGTTTTAGCTTCTTTTCTTTTATTGAAATAAAGAAAACCACAACACAAAACACACATATATATTTTAAAGACTGTTTATTGTCATACAATAAGATACAATAGTTTTTCATGATAAAATATTTTCTAATTTCAGCGTACACCAACTCGGATAGCGAGGATTGCAGTGATGACGAAGGAGCTCATTCTCGGCATGAAGGTGGCGGAATGGGCGGCAAGGATTCGCAGGGCAACGGCTCCAGTTCCAGCTCCAAATCCCGTCGCCGGCGCACAGCCTTCACTTCGGAACAGTTGCTGGAACTCGAGAGGGAGTTCCATGCCAAGAAGTATCTCAGTCTCACGGAGCGCAGTCAAATAGCCACCAGTTTAAAACTAAGCGAAGTTCAGGTGGGTTCGATTATAAATTTGCAGAGACCCTGAAACTTATGCTATAAATAATCCATTAGGTAAAAATCTGGTTTCAAAACCGCCGAGCCAAGTGGAAAAGGGTCAAGGCCGGACTCACCTCCCACGGATTGGGTCGAAATGGAAGCACCAGTGGCACCAAGATCGTGGTGCCCATCCCAGTCCACGTGAACCGGTTCGCCGTTCGATCCCAGCACCAGCAGCTGGAGAAGATGTGCCTCAGCGGACCGAAGCCGGATCTGCGCAAGAAGCTCTCGGCGGAGGCGATCGGAGGATTCGAGAAGTTCAGCGGTGCCACCAACGCAGCTCAGCCAGCAGTTGGATCAGTGGGATTGGGAGTGGGAGTGGGAGTCGGCTTGGGAGTGGCCACACCCCTCTCCCTGGCCAGGAGCATCTACTGATGGAGTTGTGCCATAAAACTGTGCGAGTGTAAATACCTAAGGAGGCAGTTCAGCTGCAAATGGAGTTGTCTTTTTGTAAATAAACGAACGAAAAATCAAATTCAAACCAAAAGCTCTTATTATTTAAACAGAACATTAATGTGAGAAAAATACAATTCATGTTAAGTATGCCATTTTTCCAAAAGTCTGTTAGAAAACTTTTAAATAAATTTTGGTTTCATAAAATAACAAATATTTTGTTTTGAGTATAGCTCAAATTAGTTTCATTACATTCTTTAGTCACATTAATTTCTTCAGCACAAAAATCCATTTAAAATGCGGAATTTCTACAAAAAATTTATTTAAACAAATTAAACATATCATTTGAAAAACTACACAATTATAAGATTTATATTCTTATTAGAACTAGCGAATTAAGGACCCATATTGGTGATTTATCCTCTGTGCAACTGACCACATGACGGGATATAAATCCGGCCGGCCTAAAAACACGCCCAGCCAGGAGCCGGAAGTCGAAAGCCACCAGGAGCCACTTAAGGGACCCCGGGCACAAATCTCGCCTCGATGTCAATTGGAACAATTAAACTGCCAATTTGTGCGATTTAGCACGGCCCAGAGTGGCCGTTTGGAGTGTCGAAAATCGAGCGTTGCATTTCGAGTTCGGGTCGATTTATCTGTGACTAATTTCTCTAATTTAACGCACCAAATTGTCACGAAATGAGAGTCAGGGCAAGGAACCCCGAATGTCCTGCGAGCGAAGGAGAAAACGAGCAATCACTCCAGGTGTCTCACGTGTCACGCCTCTTCGGCAGACTGGTATCCTGAATCCAGGACTCTTCCCTCATGACTTATTAGCAACAGCATCTCCCTCCCTTTGTGTGAGTTTTTAATTGCATTAGCGACTTATTGGCTGCCTCCTGACTTTTGTTTGTCCCAACTCCCCTGCCCGCCCCTCTCCGCTCTCCACTCCCTAATTGTGCCGGGCTGAAAGGGCAAAAGAAAGGGAGGGGAGGGGAAAACCAAAAACCACCCCAGAGAAAGGGAATCGAACTGGGAACAGGCCCTATACGGATAACGGTGTCACCCTCGTGTTTCGTCGTTCGCAGCTTTATGTTGGGACACGCCTCCAAGCATGGGTTTATATTATTGCAACACTTTGCAGGCAATTTGCTGCCGGCTGCGGGATTGCCGAGTGATGTTCTTTTGGAATCCAGAATCGGAAGCTGGAAAGCAAGAGATGAGAGCTGACTTTGCGGCAAATAAACAAAGTGCGGCAGGATCGGAGTTCGGCTAGGTTGGTTCGTGGGAATGACCTACAATGCATGGATACAGATGATAATGATGGTAAAATAATAACAGAAAATCATATACAAATAGGATTGCCCTTGAATTTTAAAAAATTTAATGTTTGGGAACAAAACTCAAAGTCAGGTATCGTTCTAGATTTAGAGTACCACTAAATTATATATACAAGTTTCTTAAGTATACATTTATTAATTTATTTAGGATATTTGATTAACGTTGATAACAATACATAATTATAAATTGGGTATTTTTAAAATTATTGACTTCAGTTGGTTTTCTGTTCTTAAGAACCACATACTTTAATTTTCACAAAGGAAAAGTTATATTAATTTCATAGAAATGTTGTTTCGATGACTTTAAAGTATTTCTTGACTTGGAAACTGTGGGTACGTACCCATAAGAACACTCTATTCACAACATTATGCAATTGGTTACAAAATTTAGCTGCAGAGCACTAAAAATTCGTTGTAGTCGGCGTATCACAGCATCACCAGGAATAGCATCAGCCACCTCTGATTGCTTCTATGTAGTTTCATGTACATATAGTACTTTTCGCCTTTTGACGGAGCTGCTTTTGTTGTAAATTATATTGCCATTAATTACGCGCGGATTTGTGTCGCCCAGAGCAGTTAAGCAACCGTAAGGCAGCACGTTAAAAATCACTTTAAAATCATTAAAAAATGGGAGGAAGTCCGTTGTGCCATTGGCGAGGGTAGAGATTCAAATTCGAATCCGGATCCTGTGAGCGGCAAAAGGGGGTCATAGTTGAATGCAGGGACTCTAAACGAAGGGCCATAAATCAAGACAGAAATGCGCGCTGTCATAATTTGTCAAAAGGCCGGGACACGCCCACTTTTGAAAAACACACATGTGGCGGAGAGGAGTTCTCCGGGATTCGCATGGATTGCGGCAAGTTTGTTGCCATGGCCATCATCGGACTTCGCAGGCCTTCAAAGGCACCGAGGACGACTCATTAAAGTGCACTTGTCACCGGCCCAAGACAGCGGGAATGTCTCCATGAATTGTTAACTGCCCATGAATTGACTGCCCCTCATCGACAATCAGCGGCAATCAGCGTTGTAAACGGCTTGTAAACCAAGGGGGATTTCCAGGGGAGGGGGCTATCCAGGGGTTGGGAGGGGTACTACTGGCATTGCCATGCGATCTGTCAGTCCCTGTCCCCCAAAGACGGACGGTCGGGCACCCACTGCTACTCCGTCCGCCTGGCTCCGCCGGTTGAAATTCCGCTGAAGACAGAATCGACAAAAAAATCAAAACGAAAATGCACTCACGCACCTGAATCCCTAATCAGCGGCCTGCGATGACGATCCGTCAGGGTGGACAGGCGGCAGCTACCGGCGGCAATGCATTTGGTTATTGGCTTTTGGGAACGGGGCAGCCCTAATAAATATCAGGTGGGGTATATTAGCATTCCCGAAAAAGTAATTAGGTATATATTGCAAAACCAAAATTGCTTTTATCAAAGGATCGAAGATATGACAATTTAAGTTTATAGAAAAAATCTTGTAAATCGTAAATTTTATTTAAAATAAATATAATATTTTCCTGAAAATTTTCAATCGTTTTCTGAATTTAAAACCTTACTTTACATTAGAACGTGAAATTGGACCTACAATTTTCGTAATGCAGTAAATCTTAAAGTTCTTTTCAAATTCAATAAAAGCTTTTGATTTGATATAAATGCTTTTCGGATTCGTCGCTAAATAAAGTTCGGAGGTCTTACGTTTAAAAATTTCGGACTTAGAAGACTTAATATTATCTGATATCTAGTTTATTTGGTTTAAAACTTGTAAGTTTGTTTTGAAATTGTATAATAAGTATTTCTGTTTTAAATTTCATTCCCCTTGTTTTAATGTTCTTATTTCCCTTTTTTTTAATGTTATAGCCGTGACACTTAGATTTAATTATGTGTTATTATTTGCAGGGTACTATAGTTCTCGGACACTGCACTGTTCTTGGTTTTCGTTTTGTTTGGTGAATTAATTAATTACCATTTTATGATTTTATTAATTTCCAAAACCAAAACATAAAGCATGCAAGCGGCGGCCGTTCTGGCTGTCGCCCATCCAACTCCCCCGCACTCAATCCCACCCCCTCTCCGTTGACCAGTGTCGCCGGTTTCTGTCCACCGGTGTCCACCGTCCATCGTCCATCGTCGTCCGTCCGTATTCCAATTCCCATGGCTTATGGGCACGTACCGGTGAGCTCGTAATAATAATGAATGTAAATTGCCGCAATGAACGATTTAATGTCTTAATTCTTTATTTATACTGACTTTTCATATATGTCGCTGCAGTCACGCCCCCCCGTTCCCGCCCTCATGTTTGGGCGGGAGCTATTCAAACAATTTGATAATTATTATTACTATATGCAGCGAGCAACAAACAAAGTGCCGACCGCATGAATAATGCAATAAAGATAAAATAGAATAATGCATTTCGAGAATATTATGAAAATGCATATTTGAATTGATCAATTTTCAAAAGACTTTTCGCGGCTACTTTCTGGTCACGAAGGAAGCCGTTTGTCAAAATATGTCCAACGATTTCGTGCCAGCCAATTAAATATAAATATATTACATCTATCCCCCTTAGAAAGCTAAACGATTCGAGGAAAAATATTAGAAACGGGTGGCCAACTGTCTGGGAATTGGTCAACGCGTCGGCACCTCAGAGGATTTCGTGGGGTTTTGGGTTTTGGTTTCTGGGATCCATCCAAACTGTTTAGAATTGAAAAAGAAGTATTCTCTGAAATTTGGGTGGATGGGGGCTACGAAAATATTTTTAAGGTTCCAACAGCACAATACTGGGCATCCTTAAAATTCCTTTACCATAAAAATAACTAAATTTGTAATGACATAATCATTCAAAACTGAAATGGTATTGTACAAAAATTCACCAATTATAATAAGAACTTTATGTTATACTATTTCTTTATAAAAACTATTTAAATAAACCAATTATAATAAGAATATTAGGGTATTAATATTTTTTATAAAAACTATTCAAATATAACAATTAATTTCCAATGACAAATAGGATATTGGTAGTTTCCCTCTTATAAAAAGTTCCGATGTTTTCTGATTTCTGATCCCACACACATACATTTTCTCAGTTTATCTTTTGCATAATTTGGCACAAAGATCCGGCATTAATCAAAGAACCTAGCTCCGCCAACCCACAATCACTTCCGCTCTGTGGTAGACCACATAAGACCAAGAATCGAGATTAGGGAACACCATAAACCATAATAAACCAAATTGTGGCGTGTGCACGTATTTCAAGACCGAATTTCTGGGTGGCCCGACTAGAGATCATTTAGAATGAGTTACGAGGCCAGAATGCGGCTAGGCCTACGTGTCCTGTATATAGGGATACGTTTATAGGCCCGTAAAACTCAGGGAAACACGTGCAGATAATTGATAAAAGATTGGATCAGATAAGATCCGAGCTGCTGTTTTGGGTAATTGATATTCTAGTCCATCGATTGTCACAAAGGGAATGGGAGAACTCCCGCTGAGCCACTTCGATTTAGTAATCTGACCTCCTGATATTCCGGCCGGTGGGGTAAAAAACGGCGGACGCAATTTATGCCGCAGCATCCGGATAGGTTACACCCACTATTTTCGATTTCATGAGTTGGCGAAATAAAACGGCAAATCCAATGAAGGCAGCTTAATAAAAAAACGAAGATGTTCCTCGCAAAAAGAGCAAATCATCATCATATGTACACGACGTTGGGGAGCCATCGACCAGGCTTGTGCCACGCCCCCAAAAGGGGACCAGGGAGACCCGTGTCAGTCTGTCTGGACTCGCTCCAGTTCCGCCCACCGACTTCCGTTCCGTAAAGTGCGGAGTCTGGGTTTTTTGTGGCCATAATTCCACGGGAGGTGGGCGTGGGTGGCTCCCGTCCGTAATTACAAACCACCCACTGGCCGTTGGCCGTAAGCGTAAAAAACCAAGCGAAAATGTGATGACGTAGTTAGAGTGTTTGCGAGCCACCAGTGAATTGTTTGGCAACGCCCACCGCTCAGTGGGTGGTCAAATTTTGCGGTAATCATCGACGCGCCAGGGAATCCGGAATACGGACTCCGGAACCGATGCTAAGTGCTGCCAGCAATCTGTAGTTTTGGACAGCAGCCAACCAATAAACATAAAAAAACTAATTTAATAAAGCGTCCATGTGGGAATGTTTCGAAGTTTCAGAGCAGCGTAAATAAAATGTATATATTGTTTAGAATAAGGAAGACATATGAATTTCTCTAACTTAATCTAGATTTCGATCAACAGAAACAATTTACGGCGTAAATCTTGGAATTCACTTTATTTTAAAAATTATTTTTAACAAATTATAAGTTTTGAACTAAGAAAAATTAGCCTTTCAGTTGATATTCATCATCTTGCATCAGTACTTTTATAGAGAGCATTTTCTATTAAGCTTAATTGCTATTGCCGCACATTTATCAATTAGTAACTAAAATAAGGTAAAATTCAACCTAAAAACGTCGACTAAAACAACTATAACTCATTAATATAAAAAATTTCACTACATATTCACTCTTAATGACTAATCTTAACAGTAGCCTCTAACATGCACCTATATAACTAGAAAAATAGCCTTACACATGGCCTACAATTAGATTTGACTATGTTCGCTTGCAGAAATGGCCTATATACCTACAAAAATGTTCACAACATATCACAACATTGCAGAAGATAGAATTTCCCAAAAGATGGGGTTTACAAACGCTGCACACACCGCCTCACAAATTTGGCCTTGTGGTGGCACATAAAGCGCAGCAGACAGATGACCAGCAGCAGACTCACTCCATAACCCACCACCAGAACGGCACGTTTCCTCCGCCGCCAGCGCTGATAGTCCCGCCAGGATGCGTAACGGTTGCGAAATTGAGGCGGCAGCTCGAACTTGCTGCGCCGCGGGAAGAAGGACAGGTAGAAATCCTCAAGCAGGTGGCGCACCATCTCGTTATCTTCGCTCCTATTAGCATCCAGATTGTCGTTGATGCAGTTGAATTTGCGCGGATTTCTGCGCAATCGGTCCAGGGACTCCACCACCTCTGTCAAATTCGAGGTGAGCATCATAAAGTTACTGTGCGAGACTCTCTTTGGACCGACATAAAACTTATACTTAGGTCGAACTGCAAAGTTAGCCGCCAAGGCTTCGGCCAGCAGTGGACACCGCACTACCAAATCCCTAGTGATAGTGGGCTGAAAAAAAGAACAAACTTTAATATATGTACGATTTTTTTAAATGTAAATAGAAACTTACCAAATTGGAATCCTCATATCGCTCGTAGACCAGCGTCGAGTGTTCAACTGTATCAACTTTAAAATTCAGGCGCAAATTTTTCGTGCAGTTCTGAATAACTTCCTCGAAGTATCGCATGGCTGACCAGTCAAGCGGCGGCGGATAGATGCGTGTAAGAAAGGTGCGCACCTCCCGATCCGACCAGGTTGCGGAGCCATCCGTGTCGAACTCATCGAAGATCTCCTCGACACCCATCACCTGCGTTTCGCTCATCAGGAAGGAGTAATAAGCGAAGGCGTACTGCAGATCAGTAGGGGACCGAAAGCGCTGAAGGGCAGTGTTTAGGACCTGCTGGCGGAAACGTCGCTGCATGGCCTCCACAACATCCTTGTCGAGCAGAAAACCCACATGCGCGAGGACATGACGTGCCTTGAAGCCATATGCACGATTGAGCAACATATTGGTGGCTATCAGCGAATGGGAGTAGATGTCGGTGGAGGACTTGAAGTCCTCCTTGTGCAGCACGTGGCGTTGGGTTGTCGGTGGCTCTGAGCTGCTGGTCTCCATATCGGGATTTAGCGACATGAGTTTGGCTCGGTTGAAGCGCTCCACGATGCGGCGGAGTTCCTTGAGAGTGGACACATTGCGGTTACGCATTACATCTTTGAAGTTAGCAGAGCTGCGCCTAAACAGCTTTTGGAGACCCATGTGTGGAAAGCGATGGACTGGAGTTTGTGGAACAGGAGCAGCTTCCACTTCGATCACTTCCTGGCTTTGTGGGAAGACGTGTGCTTCGTCCGCTGCTCCAGTTTCGCTGCAGTCTCCTCCATCAAACTGGCAGGCATCGATGTTGCAGTGCCGATCGCAGGCCCCATCGCCTATGTAGGTCCAGGGGCAGTCCAGGGCGCAATCGGGCACCATCCAGGCCTGGTACACACGCACTCCCTCCGCCTCCGTATACAGATCCTCTGGATACAGCGGTGCGCCTAAAAATATGTCGTCGTTGAGGTAGAGAAACCTCTTGGACAGCTTTGGTATGCGGTGCAGGAATGTTTCGATGGCCGAGCTGGAGAAGGTTGGAAGCTGTGCGGGATCGGGAGCCAACACTTCGTGGGGCACCACTGTAACCCTTTCGTAGCTGAGATCAAGCCAATTGGGAATCTGGCCATTGGTGACTATGTAGACATGCCTGATCCAATTGGCGTGCTTCTCCAGCGATCTCAGGGAGTACCGCAGCTCATTCTTGTCATCGAATCGCGAGGGATCGTATTTGGAATCGAACCGCCGAATGGCCTCTATAAAGTTGGGATCAGAGCCATTGACCCAGGTGTAAACCGCATCGATGGCGCTGCAGGAGCTGCTGGACTCGCCGGTTCTGCCCTCATCGGCTGAAGAGAGATAGTTAGCAGTTAACCAAATCATCAGGCAGAGTCCTCCAATCACTGAAAGTAAGAAAACCTTTAATTAGTTAAGTAATAGGAAGGGAACGTGGCCAAAACTCACCCATGAAGAACTGCAGCTTCCTGCGAGACTGCAGTCGCAATTGTTCTATGACACGCCGCATCCTTCGCGGCCAGCGGCGGCGCAGGCGCATCCTCAAGTCCTTAAATGGCACATTTCATGCATTATTGCCGCAGTAAAATCATAACAAAAACTTTGTTTTTCTTCGCAGTAGTGTGGCCGCAGCACGACTGTGAATAAATGCCATGAGAACTTTATTTATTAATTTGTGGAACTAGTTCGCTAGTCCTACTCGTTGAAAGCACGGTTTATGTACATGCTTAAGCAAAGATTTAAACCATATTTGATATGAGGTATATTTATATTATTATTTATTAAATTTAAATAATTAATGTATAATTCTATACTGTTTATTTTCAATTGTCGTATTTTAAAAATAAAATATCTTTTGGTATTTATTAAAATTTTTTAGTATTAAATTTTTAATATGTTTTGACAACACTGCGGTCAGCTGGTGCGCATCACATGACCGTCATAAGGTTTTTTTCTCACTGGAATAGGCAACGTCGTGCAAGGCAAAGCGAAAATTTTCACCACCATTTTTCGTTTGTAGTTTCAGTTCACTTTTCGGTTGGTTTCTTGTGCCTCTTGTGTTCTCTTTAGTTATTAACTTATGTGTTTTGGTTTTTCCTTTGTTTTATTTAAACCCCCGAAGTAAGCGAATCCAGCGAGATGTTGTGGAAATCGCTGATTGCGTTGTGCGTCATTGGGGCTGCCTTGGCGGAGCAAACGCCCGTCTTTCTGTGGGGAGCCAACAGGTGGGTTTTACGACTGCGACTCCACCAGTTGCACATGTAACTAGTTTAAAACCTACATATTTTATCAGTGTGGCGAAGCCCTCTCTGAAGACGGTGCCCCAGGCGGAGTTTGCCAAGCAGTTGGCTACGTTGCTGGAAGATCACATGGTTGTGGCCTTCGAGGAAAATGGCGTAAGTGCCCCTTTATGATAACCAGATAACTTGACCTTCAAAACATACGATTCCCACACAAAATCCAGCTGAGCAACAAGGACTTCCTGTGCTCCAACTCCCAGTCGCAGTCCTGCTACGCCCAGCTGCAAGGAGTGAGCCCCAAGACCTACTACACCAGCGTTGAGAATCCCTCGGAGGCACTGCGTTCGGTGGCCGCCAAGCGGGAGCACAACAGCATCGATGCCAGCGGCAAGCTGGTCACCCCGGCCAAGTGCTCCGTGGGCACGGCCCTGTTCGTGAGTTTCGAGGACGCCGCCGCTAGCCGTGAGGACAGTCTGGAGTCACATGGTGGGTCATACAGAAATCATACAATGTGACACACTTATTTTACTATACAATATCCACCTTCAGACGCCGCCATCGCCGCTATCAGCAAACAGTTCGAGTGCAAGGTGGCTTATCTGTACCTGGCCGCACCCTCCACCGCACCGGTGGTGCAGCGTCGCTCCCGCCGTAGCACGGCCGCCACCACCGGCGGCATCATTTGGCACGCGACCAACCAGTTTCAGATCTTCTACACTGCCCTCCTCTACAACGGCAACCCCGTCGAGGTCACCGGCATGCAAGTCACAAACTCCACCACTCCCGCCACCAAGTTCTCCGTTGCTCTTACCACGTCTGATCCCACAAAGAACATCTCCTTTGATGTTATTTATGATGGCGGCTACTTTAGCCTGAGCAACTTGGCCTACGACGGCTCGAATTTCCGTTCCAGCGGCGTGAATGCCCCCACCACGTTCTCTTACTCCTGCGGCAACCTCACCCTCGATTCGACGGCCGTTAACAACATGTACAACACCCTGAGCTTCAAGTCCCTGCAGCTGCAGGCTCCCTTCGACGGCACCTACAAGGACAACTTCCCGTTCGGCGACTCCTGGGACTGCGTCGGCTTCGTGACGCCCGGAATCCTGATGGGTCTGTTCGTGGTCGCCCTGCTGCTGGTCATCATGTTCGTCGGCGTCTGCTGGATGATGGACATCAACACGATGGACCGCTTCGACGATCCTAAGGGCAAGACCATCACCATTAATGCTGCCGCCGAGTAAACGGCTAACTTCATTGGTTCACAACCTCTTTGATTGTTTAATGCGCACTCAATATTCATTCCTTTATTCCTTCAGTCTATCCACATGTATTTGTAAACGAATCAATACTTAATACCGTAACCACATAACACATAACCGGGAAATTAGTCCTCACAATTTGTATCGTATCTATAATTTTCGCCGGCAAAGATCAGTTGACGTTCAGCATCAAAGCGTTAATGGTTCTTGTCGCCGAAAATTGTCTGAGGTTTTGCTTGCTACGACTTGGCATCCAGTATTTCATTTAGTATAGCTCCTAAATGTCGTAAATCGAAGGAAATTTAAAGAGACGCACATGTGTGTGTGTACGAATGTGTGTGTGTGTGTGCCGATGGGCAGTAAATCTAATCTTGAATATATCTAAGTGTTTTATAGGTTCTTGTTTGGCGCAAATATGCGAGACTAATTTATGCCTCTGTATGATAGTTTGTCATTTGTGCAACCCTCCTGTTCGCAGGCCCAACGAAAATAAAGTTTTTTTTCAATTGTGTTACAAATGAAAAGTTTTTACTGGCAAAAAGCTGATGTTTCGATGCTCTTTTTCTCTTCGTTCTTTACCAAATATTGGAGAAACTACTCAATGGTTTAATGACCACAAATTTGCTCTCTTAAATGTTATTTCTTTTTTGTTGAAAAATCTTGTCTTCAATTTTATCATGTCTTTTATAAATAGATACACTATCAGGATGGGAATAAATTTACTTGTGTTTTTGAATGGAAGCTACCAACTGAAACATGTAAGCGATAAGACCCTGTTATTGGCTGGTATCCAAATAGTTGATAACAAGTTTTTGTGTTTCTTGTTTTGGAAACAATTTCAATTGAATTCGCTGGTCTTGCAGGGCGTAAAAAGTCATGGAAACAAATCAAAAGTTTAATGGAAATTTATTGAGTTGCATCGGCGGGGATATAGAGAGATACCCAGCTTTTCGGTTGAAACTCGGAAGTTGAAACTTTCCAACTGCAGCTAAAGGAAACCCATTTCCTCGACTTTCATTAAGTTGCTTAGCTGGAGTGGCAAAAAACAGTGTTTATGACATTTTAATCTCTTGTTTATCCGCTTGACTTTTCCACTTGCCTGCGAGTGCAAAGTGGAAAGCGGCAGTGGCAGCTGCAGTCGCCTCCGTCTGGTCAAGGCGTGCGTAAAATAAACTCTTCGGCAGACAGCGCAAAAAAGTATGCTACGGCCGGGGAACCAAAGTTCCTGAATGGGTGCACGGGTATACGAGTGTACCAGTAAACGAGTATACGGGTGGGTGGATGTGTTCTCTGAGCCAAGAGGACACAGTTGACTGCACTGCGAGTGGCTGGCAGGCGCTTAACGTTTTTGTTGCATTAGAAACAGGTCAGTGCGTCATGCACACAAATGAGCATATGACCCAACTGGAGCGCAGTGCCGCCATGGAGGAGCTGTGCTCCTGGCGTCCAAAAAACTTGTGCCAAGTGGGGTCCTGGGAGCTAAGGCGATCCAGGGGGTGTCCGGGGTCCCAGGAAACAGTAATTATGCATAAGTCAACACGCGGCATTCGTAATGAACTCCACTCAAAGCGGAACGAGCACTTTGCGGACTCGCAGCTACATACATATAGCTATGGCGCAAAAGTTCGCAAAGTTTTTGGCAGCCGAAAATGTCGCCAACTTGCCAGATGCCGAAACTTTCTGGCCAGCCTCAAAGCAGCCAAGTCCTCTATGCAATGCGCTCGGTTGTATGTACGGTATGTGGAAGTTTCAACGGATGTGGTCAAAATTATAGTACTCTTGGGTTGAGAAAATGTTCTCAATTTATCACATATTCTTAAAGTTTCGAAATAAATGAAAACGAGAACGAAATTGGACTTCGGCATGGCTACGTTTTAATACACTCGCAGTCAAATACAAATATGACAGATGTAGGATATAGTCAACTGAAGGGATGGATCCAAAATGATATAAAACCATCATATCAGCAATGCCAGCGATATATTCACCTAATTCTTCGAAAACAAAACTTAACATATTTGACCTGATCCTTTCTATGAAAGATATACGATATAGATTCCGATCAGATCTGGTTTAAATTTGATCTCCTTACATGTGTAAAAGCGATTATGAAAGTTTTAAGTCCGCAGCTTTAAAACTCATCTTGCAAAAGGAATAGAAAACTATTAAGTTGTAACTCGGCCTGACGTAAAACAAACATTTAAAGCTGTCGACCCGAACTATCAATTCCCGTCACTTTCCTAACGTTTTATTTTTGTCCGAATTTCGCATTTATACGAAAATCTGTCAGAAACAAAAAGTTACAGCTGAAAGTTACCACGACTTCAACGTGGTATAACATTCAAGGCTTGTACAAAACATTGGCCATTAGAAACTTTAAAATTATATAACAAAAATCTCATTTTGTAAAACTTTTTTGAAGGAACTTGGCGAAAATAAGACTCATATCTTAAGGACAGACGGTTTTGTTCAGCTGACAACCTCAACTATAAATCCACTTTTCAAACTTTTTATTGTTTTGCCGATTTTCAAATTTCTCATAATGGGTTACATCATGTTTTCTTGCGAAAAACGGTCAGAACAAAAAGTGTTAGCTTTGAATACCAATTGATTGGGAATTTAATACCGATCATTCCAATTTTATTTCTAGAAATGGTTCACTTAAAACTATTTCTTCGACCCCGTCTGTGTGAGCTTGGCTCTTAACCCTGCCAAGCCGTCGGACCTTCCCGCTGCGAGAACCCCTGGGGTTAAAGTGTCGCTCACTCCTCGCCAGCAGCCACAGTCCGTAATAAACCCGGCGGTCTACAAATTGCAGCATTAGGCAGGCACAAACAGAAACTGGAATGGGAATGGGAATGGGGACTGTCTTGGGGCAGAGGAAACTTCCGAGTCCAAGTGCTCGAACACATGTCCTGCCTGTCTGCCAGGAGAAGGACGACCAGTAAATGCAGCCGATGCAGTTTGAAAAGTTGGGGCCCGTTTGCTGTCATTAAGCTGAGCCACAGTGCGAATCATTAGGCACAGGATCCGGAGAGGGAGGAGCTGGTATATGGAAGCTGGGATCTGGGATCTGGGAGCTTAAGCCAAAGCCAAAAACAATAAAATCGCTGCTGGGCGT